CCCGCCATAATAAGCATGTGAGGGATGATGTCATCATAGAGTCCCACACGGAAACGTAAATATAGACGGGAATGTGACGGAAAAAAGGCCGGAAAAGGAAAAGCATCTCCTGGAAGCCTCTGAAAAGATACAGAAAATAGCTAAAAAGTTTAGCTTTACAAGCCTGTTTGACAATAATTTCTCATATTTCCCCATTTGTTGACGTCAGATTTTTAATTTTAACGCAGGATTTTCTGGGTTCTGATCAGGGAAAACTCATTATTAACCCTGTAATGCCAAATGTCTCATATTTGATTCATACGGTTTCTGAAATGTTTTGCGTCTGACCCCTTTTGCATAATTTAATGGTAAAAACTTTGCTCAAAATCCTATTTTACATAATCAGATATACCTGATAACAGGGGGCATAAGACCACACAAAAAATAATCTTGACTTATCGCATAGTAATAAATTATTAATATTTAAAAATGTATTTCTGTTTTTTCTTTTTAGATATTTTGTTTAAAGGCCAAATAAGGAATTCAAACAAAAGAAAAGTAATTTTCTGTTTTGTTTTATTCTTGGATCAGGCTTTAAAGGGTTAAAAGTTATAGCGATTAAAAAGTGGGAGGTTCTTAAATGATAAGGCAGGAGGATGTGAACAGGAGGAATAAAACCCACGGAAAAGCAGCAGGAATTAAAGGGAATAAGTGAAATTATTGGATCATCTTTGGCTCCAAACGTTGGAGTTCTGGACCGGGCCGAGTCCTGATGGGAACCAGATCCCTCTGGTTCTGGTTCCACCTCCCAGGAGGGCGAGAACCTTAAGAACCATCAGATCTGGAATCTGATTCTTTCTGTCTTCCACAGTCAGAACGGGGGATTTTAGTGGTCAGAACTAATTCGAACCCCTCAATCCAACCCAGAACCCTCTGGTCCTGGTTCCCCCCGGGGACTTTAACCCAGAACCCTCTGGTCCTGGTTCCCCCGGGGACTCCAACCCAGAACCATATTCGGTTCCATCCTGCCAGAAGAAAACAAGCAAATGACTAAAAAAGTATTTAGTATTATTGGTATTAGAAATTAGTATTAAGTAATAAGTGATTAGTAATAAGTATTAGCAATAAGTAATCAGTAATAAGTATTAGTAATAAGTATTAGTAATAAGTAATTAGTAATAAGTATTAGAAATAAGTAATTAGTAATAAGTATTAGTAATCAGGTTGAAGTACTGACTTCTCTGCATTAAAAACAAGTTAAAAATGACGTTTTATAACCTGACTTTCTGCCCCCTGCTGCCATTTTTATGATATTATTCTGACTTTAGTCGTCAGCTAGCTTATGTAACGAGTCCCGGTCACATTGCAGATAGTGAGTCTTTGTCTCTAAGTTTGTCTTTAGTTTACACAAAGCCGGCCTGTGATCAGTCTGGGTAAAAAACGTATTTTTTAGGGGGGGGGGTGCTGCTTCCTCCTGGGTCTTTATTCGGCCCGGAGCAGGTTAAGGACGAGGTCAGGAATCTTTTCCATGAACCGGGACAGAACGTTTCATATCTGATCAATATGTCCGACCTAAACCGGAGTTTAACGTTTTAATGCGGAAAATCAGAGTAAAGAACTCGGATAAGAAAAACCTGGATCAAGTAATTTGAAGTAAATTTAAGTCGGGGATTATTTTTGAACATTTTTTATCCTTTATTTTTTCCACAGATGGTCGCTCTGCTCTAATAAAATCTTTTACTGGACAAAATGATTTACTGATCTTACAGAAACGGTCTAAAACTTTGGTTAAAAACCAAATTGTGCTCATTTAAAGTTGTACAGTGGATCAAGTTAACTGGCAAGTGTGTTTCTTATATTTTAATGAGTAATTTTCCGAGTGTGAATCAACATTTTTCGTGGGGCTGTAAATAAAAACAAAACCATCAAAGTATTAAGAAAAACTCAGTTAGAAGGATTTTTCTCAGATAGGATTCAAAAGCTTGTATTTCAGTTCTTCAGGTAAAATGAGAATGATAAATAATGTACGATTAAATATAAACATTTTTAGCTTTTACTGGTTAAACGTGATGAAAATAGTGACTAATGGCTGGAAAAAAATTCCCATCCGGCCCGGTGACGAATCCTTTAAGTGTTTTTTACG